TAATTATAGAGTCCTGAACCTCCATCATGAGTGTTTGATGCTTTCTCTCACTGATTTTTTTTTTCTTCCAGTTATTTTTCTTTGCATTTGTTACCCACTCCTCACCTGTTTCTTTCTATCATTTTGTTACAGTATCTCTGTTTCTGTGGAATTTTGCTTTGGTATTTTTCCAAAGCTCAGTTGCTTTCTCATGACTTATTCATTATTGAACTCGTTTGCTGTCTTTTCAGTCCTCGTTTTCCTTTATTGAGACCTTGTCCCTTTACCTATTTCTCATTCTCTCCCTGACTTCTTTTCCCACAGATGCTTTCACACTTTATTTATTTTGGCCTTTTGTTTCCTCTTTCACATCAGAGCCTGGCTTTTATTAAGGATTCTTTGTATGAAGGTCTATGTAGCTGAACCAAGGCTTATGTATCTTTATGGATTTATTAGCTCCAAATCTGAACTGTGGCTGAGGAATGCTCTGTGTAGTTCAGGGGAGAAGTGCAAAGGTGTCTTTATTTAAGCCACCTTTGTGTGCTCTCAGTTCTGGATTGATCTACACCAGTCAGGTACCATTGCACAATTTAGCATGGCCTTAGTCTGCTCTAAATTGTGACAACTCCCTGTGGCGTAACTGTTATAACTGCTAGCTATAGCTATGCTCCTTTTCCGTAACCACTCCCCCTGCACTAGCCAGTGGGAGGGGGTTGGGATTAGAACAACTACACAGGTTAAATTTATTTTTACTGCAAGATTAACAAAAGCTAGACACTGATGTCTTAAAAAAGAGCCCATATTGACAAGAACATGCAGCCAGTTGCATTCCAGAGCCGCATTCCATTCAAAAAGAACATACATACAGTTTATTTCAAGTTAAAAGGTAAAAAATATTTTAACATACCAGTTCCACTGCTGCACAGCATATCACTAACATGTTGAGGGCAGAGAAATTCTAGGCAACCCAAATATCCTCCTTTGTGGATTGATCCTCTGATAACCATTTATGCCTACTTTAAGGCAGCCTTTCATGAAGGGCTCCTTAACAGATACCAGTACTGTTATGCTTGTACTCTGGTTTCCCTTTAAACTTTTATTGTGTGTGGCACCTAATCAAGAGAAAGTAAATTCAATTTCTTTCAAATCAGTGCTTATGAGCTAATGCATGGGTTACCCAGGAGGTGGAGCTGAGATAACAAAACAATTAATAATTTGCCTCTGTCCAGCATCTCAGATCCAGGAACTCCTCAGCAGAGTTTGTATTTTCGGCTCTCTTGGTTGGTGCCTCCACAGGAAGTAAATTAAAGAAATACCAAAGAAGAGAATATTATTTAATAATTTTGCTTATGAAATATATAATTATTTATTAAAAGCTTGGAGGTAATTTACTTTGCATTTTTATGGTGATTTTTTTTTCATGAATTACTTGTTTTTGGACATGACCTATCCATGACTTTTACTGTATAAATACTCCTGACTAAACTTAGCTGCTCCTGGGGCCCCAGGACACCACTGCTGTGGGAGCCCTGTGGCCTATGGCTAGCACCTGCATTGGCTGCAGGGGCTGACTGCCCCCAGCCACCCCTGCGCCAAGGTCCCAGGGACTGCTGCTCAGGTGCTCTCTGGGGCCAGCCACCCTGGGACCGCTGCTTGGGTGCTTCCCCCAGGCTAGCTGCCCAAGCCGTGGCCAGTGCTTGGGCACTCCGCGGGGCTGCCCCCGAGACCGCTGCTCAGGCGCTTACTGGGCCACCCAAGCAGTGATTGGTGCGGCTAGCCCTGGAGTTGCCCCTGGGACTGCTGCATGGGTGCTCCCTGGGGCCAGCCGTCCGAGAAGTGGCTGGTGTGCCTGGCCCCGGGGCTGCCCCCAGGACCACTCCTTGGGCACTCCTCCGGGGCTGCCCCTAGGACCGCTCCTCAGACGCTCCTCAGGGCCAGCCACCCTGGGACTGCCTGAGCAGCAGCCAGTGCGGCTGGCCCCGGGCTACTCCAACTGTAGCTGGTGCGGCAGGTTGTGGGGCACCTGAGCAGCGCCTGGTGAAGCTGTCCAACGGGGCGCCCAAGCAACTGGCCCCGGGATCAGCTTCAGCAGCCATTGCAGCTGTGAACATCACAGAATCCATGACTTTCTGCGACCTCCATGACCAAATCTCAGCCTTAGGCTTGTCTACACTTACATTTTATAGCGCTCTAACTTGCTGTCTCAGGGGATGTGAAAAATCACACCCCTGAGCGCAGCAAGTCTGAGCAGTTTAAAGCGCTAGTGTGGACAGGCTCAGAGCGCTGGGAGAGCTTGTGGAGGTAGATTACCAGGAGCGCTGGGAGAGCTCTCTCTCACAGCGTTCATGCGTGACCCCACTTGTACGTCAAAGCGCGCTTCTGCGTCAGTGCTTTGAAGTTTCCAGTGTAGCCATGCCCTTAGTGATAAGTGGGGCTAGGACATGGCAGTCTTTCAGATGTAGAGCGCTTCCTTGGTGTCATGCTGTTCTATACCCTTTTACTTGTGATGAGGAATGCTCAGCACTCCTCCTGCTGCAGTAATCCTCCTTAACTTTTCCATTTTTACCCCGAATGGTGGTTTGCACATGCCATGTAATGGTAGCACAGATGTACTGTATAAAGAAATGCCTCTTGAGATGATTAAATGATGGGTGTCACGGCAAGTTGCAGCTGAAGAGGTAGTAGCTGGATGCATGAATAAGGAAGAGAGCATGTTAGTCTGCATAATCCTGATCTTTCCTGAACATGCATAGGCCTCCTTAATATTTGGATAGGAGACTGTGGACAACCTTTCTTTTTTGTGTTCCAGTCTCTGGGTTATTGTATTCAGGCCTTCAGCTTGTAGAGCTAGTATTAACTGAAAAGAATCAATACTGTTTTTCTTTCTTAAAAGCCTCCAGATTCAGTTTCATGCTGGATTGGACTCAGTCATAAGGAAAATTGTTCATTTGATGGATGCTCATGTGGATCCCTTCCAGTACATTCCTTGTGCTTTGTCTATTCTGGTTATAAGTGCCTGAATTGAAATCTCAGAAATGAGATCAGAACCCACCTGGCGAGGTACAGGCAGGGGGCTTAGGGCAGGGAGTTGGGGGGCGGGGTGCAGGAGCGGTTTGGGCTCCGGCCTGGCGCCACTTACCTAAAGCTGCTCCAGGGTGGCAGCGGCAGGCGCCAGGGTAGGCTGCCTGCCCTGGCCCCATGCCGCACTGCTCCAGAAAGCAGCCGGAGCCATGTCCCTGCGCGGCCCCCGGGGAAGGGGGGACACAGGGCTCTGAGCGCTGCCATTGCCACGCCTCCAGGTACCTCCCCCGAAGCTCCCATTGGCCACGGTTCCCCATTCCCGGCCAATGGGAGCTGCGGGGGGTGGTGTCTGGATGCAAGGGCAACGCACAGAGCCCTCTGCCCCTCCCACCCACCCTGGGCCCCAGGGACGTGGTGTCGGCCGCTTCTGAGAGTGGCATGGGGCCTGCGGCACCACAGGGGGCATTCCCGCAGGACGGATCCAAAGTCCTGACAGGTCGGATCTGGCCCACAGGCCGTAGTATGCCCACCCCTGAGATAGCGTCTGCTGCAGTAAATTAATATTATGATATAATGTATGTCTTGGTTTATTTCCCATCTCCTGAATATGTTCCCTTTTTTTTAATGCCTTTATTACTATGTGCAAGTGAATTAATATTCAGTTTTACACTGCTCCTTTGCAGCAGTGGCTATTGACAAAGGGCTTAGAAGCAGCAAATTGGTCTGCCTTCAAAACTTGTTACACTAAGTGCATGTCTTCACTAGCAACGTTAAAATTCTGCCACGGCAGCGCTTTAAAGTGGCTGTGTAGTCGCAGCACCAGACCTCTCCCAGCGCTATAGAAAAACCACCTCCACCAAGGGAACAGCTCCCAGTGCTGGTGCACTGTCTACACGGCTACTTTACAGCGCTGAAACTTGCAGGGCTCAGAGGAGTGTTTTTTCATACCTCTGAGCAAGAAAGTTGCAGCGCTGTCAATTGCCAGTGTAGACAAGCTGTAAGACAGAGGCATAGCGGGGGTCATGGAGTTCCACTCTCCCTTGCAAAGCTACTAGCAAAAAAGAGTGGTGCTGTTTGAATCATTAAATAAACTCCATTAGCCCTTTTTACACACATTTCAGAACCAAAAGGAGAGAAGCCTGTGACAAATATGTATCCGCTACATCAAACATGTTCCTATTAGGTTTTAAAATAAGTGTATTTTCTTGAAGTACAAAAATTAACCTTCAATCTAAAATATTTAATACCCTTTATGTTCCTTCAGAGAAGAGAGCCAAGAATGAAATATTTGCATGGACTCCTAAGCAGTCTGTTAGCAGGTTGGGAGCCTTTTCTTTTATAGTGCAACATCGGAAGAAATGTTTTTTCCTTTGTCCTTTAAATCAAAGTTCCATGGTAGAAGTGCCAATAAAATCAGGGACGATTGAGATAAAAAATCAGGGACAATTGTGAAGACAAGTAATTCCCCAGTACTTTTTATTGATTTCTTGTTAGTGTGCCTTTGATGTTGTCTGATTTGATTTTTAAGAAGCCCTGAGTAATTTCTTCCAGCCATTTCACACACAGGAACTGATTGCTGCAGTAAATGATGAGCATTTCCCAGCAAAGAATATACATTTCTTTACATTTTTCTGATGACTTGTTCGGAGGTGGGTTCAGGACTAGAGAGAGAGTTATCTCACTGATACCGGTTTTACATGGGTGTTGCTTCAGTGGAGTTACTCCTGATTTACATCACTGTAAATGAGAGCAGAATCAGGCCCAATAAGTAGCAGGTAACATGATAAAAGCACTCAGCTACTGTAAAATGGCTTAGCTCCACTGAGGAACTTTACACCAGCTAAGGATCTGGTCCTAAATCTATACATGTAGTAAAAATGTAAGATTGTTTCCCTGCCCTATTGAATACAGGTAACCTCCAGATCCCATGTTGGGCATTTGTTTGACAGACATCACAGATTAGTGTGTACACTTAATCACTTTGTTTTCTCTCTTCTCAGTGTTGGAGCACTTGTGGGTCTGTCAATAGCAGCGGTGGTCCTGCTTGCTTTTATCATCACAGTGTGTGTTCTCTGTTACTTGTTTATCAGTACGAAGCCACGCAACAAGCTGGATACAGGTTTAAGCTTGCAGACAGCAGGTAAGATCAGCTTTGTGTTGTTGACATCATCTGCAGCGATAAAGGTTTACTCCAGCAAGAATTTTAAAACCCCACTAGGCATCCATCTGGGTACCTAAATATCCTTAAAAATCTGTCCCTAAGTGTATGTGTACACTGCAGTAAAATACCCATAGTTGGCCTGTGTCAGCTGACTTGGGCTTGCGGGGCTCAGGCAGCAGGGTGTTGTAAAATCTCAAACCATTCCTGTTATAACTCCTTAATTAAAGACTATGCAGGATATGCTGAGAGTTTTGTTTTTAACTATCTCTCTGGGTATTTAAAATCCCCATCACAAAAGAAATTCTGTTATGCTGGATTTGCCTTCACCAATTCACTGATGGAGTAAATCTTTATCTCTTCAGGGTAAAGGCTCTTGCAGGGTTCCAGAGCCCAAGCTGCAGCCCAAGCCTGAACAGCTATATTGCAGTCTTATAGCTCCAGCTGTTTTTTTGTTTTTTTTATTGCAGTGTACACCTACCATTTGTGATCTGGCCAAGGTCACACAGGAAACCTCTGGTGGAACATCCTTTCTCTCAAGTAACCTGTCTTGTCTTTATAGTTAGGTAGAATCTTTGCAATAATTCCTCTGTGAGAGGGCTGTTTATCTCTGCTGTAAGGTGTGGCCAGGACACTGCCTCAGTTGGGAGCATAGGTCAGCCCTCTGGCCAAAACCAAAATGGCTTCTCCTTTCTGGGGCCACAAATGCCCAAAACAAATTCCAATCTAGAGCTTTACACTAAACACTCTCCTGCAGGAACTTTTAGTTTACTGGAGTAAAGGAAATTCAGTTACAGTCCATGTTATTTTTTTAAACTTTACACTGTCATTGTGTATATAAGTATTAACCCCTTCAAAATTCAGGACGGGGGAATCAGTGGAATCTCTGTATGAGAGGGGTGGATGGAACTGTTGCAGCTGTGGAGGAAAACGGGAGTTTAAGCTGTGAGAGGTGGGCAAGGGAGGAGAGGCTCCAGGCAGGCAGGGGAGCAGGAGAGGAATATGGTGGAGCATAGCTTCCACTCAATGACCACAAAGCACTCTGCAATAGAAGTCTCACAACCATTCTGTAACATAGGGAAATATGACCGTCATTTTGCAGACAGATTAAAGGGGAGATTTTTCAAGGCACAAACGGCAGTTAGGTATTTTACTGATTGCACAGCCAATCTAACTCTGGCATTTCCTAATTTGGGCTGACTTTAATTAAGGGCTCCGCTATCAGGTCATCTAGTCCAGAGGCTCTCAACCTTTCCAGACTTCTGGACCCCTTTCAGGAGTCTGATTTGTCTTGTGGACCCCTAAGTTTCACCTCACTTAAAAACTACTTGCTTACACCATCAGACATAAAAATACGAAAGTGTCACAGCACACTGTTACTGAAAAACTGCTTACTTCTCATTTTTGCCATATAATTATAAAATAAATCAATTGGAATATAAATATTGTACTTGCATTTCAGTGTATAGTATATAGAGGAGTATAAACAAGTCATTGTATGAAATGTTAAGTTTCTACTGACTTCACTAGTGCTTTTTCTGTAGTCTTATAAAACTAGCTAACATCTAGATGAGTTGATGTACCCCCAGAAGACCTCTGCATACCCCCAGGGGTACACGTCTCCCTGGTTGAGAACCACAGATCTAATCCATGCCATCCCCTCAGCTAGTGAAAGATGGTTCCCAGTAGTGTGTTTTGTAATGCTTTGGGCAAGCTATACATAGTTATTTATTTAACTGAGAGAAGCATATTGCTGTTTGTTTTACTGAAATGTTTTTGTTTTTCAGGCAGTGAGACTAGAGGGTGTTCTTTGTGAAAAATAGAGAGGCACTGGACCGGATTCTGCAATACATAGGTACAGTGAAAATGTTATTCACCTTTCCCCACCCTCCATGCCCTCAGTTCTCTAAGCAATGTGATGGGCAGTCATTTTTCAAAATGCTATAAATTCCTAGGTTGATTTTTAGGATGTTGAAACATGCTAATGGCAGAAAGTGGATGACTTACACACTAATGACCCCTTATGAATGGGTCTGCTTGTTTCACCCAGAAATGCTCCTTCATAGTAATAGTCTGAGAGCGAGCGAGCATTCCCCTCATACTGTAGTTACATTAGTGGCCAGGTAGCTCCGTGGCTCACTTATGAGGCAGCCAGTGTGACCTCTTTTGGGAAAAGATTCTTTGGTGATGAACACGTAAGAAGGCATTTGTGTAAGAAAAATAGGGACTTAAATATCAGATAAGTAGTTCAGTATTGTTCTGTTTTCTGAATATACAGTCTGTACTGTTGCTATGCCAAATCGCAAAGAGAAATGGAAGGGAATCTCACAAAAACCGAGGTTTCTCATTCTGACTTCACTGCATGCTGGACTTGTTGTAAAAGGTCAAGTTGCCTGCCTCACAGACCAAGCTAGGAAGCATTCAAAATATAATGACTGTGCTTCAGCCTTGAGAAGGAATTTATAAATAATTTGCAGGACATTAGGTGAAATGAAACAAAATACTACTTTTTACCTGGGGTGAAAGCTCGTGGCTAAGCATCTATAGAGTGCATGCAAGGCCATGGACCAACAGTGTCTGTCAAGGGGAAGAGGGAACCTTTATGGCTCAGCAGCTGTTCTTGGAACAACAAGGCTATGTAATAAACACACATACAAGCAGTGAGAAATCCGTGCCTGATGTTACTTTGACATCCCATTTAGCAAACTGAACCAAATGGTATCTCTGTGCATTTCCCTTAATCAGCAGCATGAAAGAGGTTGGCTTGCGTTGTTTTGCTACTTGTTTTTTTATTGAAATATTTATTATGACAAAACTCATTTTGAAATACAGCATTGTACAAAGGAAAAAGATCATTGCTTCCTATTGTTTCAAATTAGATGGTTTATGGGAGAATAATGCCATGGTAAGATGGAAAAAGGCACCTGAAACTAGGAAGTCGCCCATAAATAAAGTCGTCATTTGTTTTGTCTTATTCTTTCCATTACACTGTGGGTTCTAAGATTAAAAGTGCCTGCAGCCCATGTGGCTTTAAGAAAGTTCCTCAGGTAAAAGTTTACTTTGAGTTCAATGATTTATTCTGAGGCCATGAGACCTAGTGAACAGATTATGAGCTAGGACCCCATGAGTTCGAATCTGGCTCTCATATCAATGTGGCCTTGAGTAAGTCATGCTCTCTGCCTCAGTTTCACCATTTCTGACATAGGGATGATAATAAGAAAAGGAGGACTTGTGGCACCTTAGAGACTAACATTTATTTGAGCATAAGCTTTCGTGAGCTACAGCTCATTTCATCGGATGCTAACTCTCTACCTCCCAAGGGTGTTGTGAAGACTAACATTTGTGCAGTGCTCTGAAATGTAGCATGTTAAGTGGTGGTGCTTATTGAGAGGGAGGGGAGAGAAGAATCATGTGGATAAAACAAGGGAAAAGACACCTAATTAGGGAAAGGGGACTTCAGTGAGTTTGGCGTTCCAGTTCAATTTTGATAAAGACCCAAAGGTTCACAGATTAACTGAGCCTCTTGAGTCTACAAAACTGGGCTGGAAATACCATGAGAATTAGCTTTCATATGTGTCGTCTTGTGGGATTTCTGTTTGGACTGGAAATAGAAAGAGCCTCTCAGTGTTTAAGCAATTTTGCTTCTAGCCCTGTCAGGAATTAAGGAAAAAAAGGAGGTGTCTGCCATGAAAATGAAAAATAATGTGGTGATGTGGGAAAGTTATCTGAACTTTTCTGAACCTCAGCAAATATTTGGTTGAAGTTTTGGGGGGAAAGTTGGAGTCCAGATAGGTTTCTCCCATCCCTGCTTTAAATATTTTCAGTTTGTTTAGTTGCTGGATTAAAAAATGTCATTTATTTTACAATAGGCCAGTATGTTTTGATGTCACCAGCTATTACCGGGAGCTAACCCAGAATGGCAGGAATTATCCCGCCAAAGCCTATAAATCACCCCAGATCTGTCAAAAATTCCATCCAACGCTCCAAACCTTCACTTGCCGAAGAAAGCTACACAGAAGATGCTGGATTTTGCTTAATGTGCATACAGTATTTCCTCCACCTAATCCACTGTTTCTAAAATAGTAGTAGAGCACACCCCTTCCCCCCAGTAAACTCATTCTGGTTCCAAGAACAAGCTTGGGAAAGGCGTCTCAACCCACTCACACTGGCAAGTGTTTAGATTACATTAGTGCAACATGTGGTCACATTCAAAATATAACTCAATTAGGTATACTGTAGACTGTGCACCTACTTATTACTCCAAGAGGCCTGTGGGAAATATCCTCACCCCAGCTAAGTAAGATTAAAACTCCGCAATGTGACCAAAACTTTGCCTCTGGGGACTGAATTTTTCTCTTGATTTTTAGCCACGCCATGCCATGTTGACCACTGTGGAGGAGCTAACCTTTAACATCCTGTGATGTTACCATACATACACTGCATAGGCATGGATTTCTTTGCATCTATTTGGCAAGCAGGGAATGGCTGAAATATTATATAAACTAGCAAAATATCAGCATCAGCTGCTGTGTTTATGTGTTGATGAAAAGTGCTGGGTAAACAGCTCTGCAGACCAAAATCCTCGGTGTACCCCTAGAACAGCTACAGCCTGAGAAGCAGTAGTGCAAGCTTCCTCACATCCTCCCACACTAGTCTCTGTCCTGGAAGGACCATCCCTGGGGGCAAGAAGGTATAGTAATTCATTCTTGGTGTCCATTCACTCCTTGGTTACTCTGCCAGGGTTACCCACAAGGGGACCAATACAGGTAGTGATTTTGTGACATGGACACACACATCCACTAGGAACTGGACTGAAACAAGCTGTGAACTTCTCATGTACCATTTCAGCCACTTCCAACCTGGCCCTCATTAGAATCTGTGACTCACAGATGAAGATCTTCATCTCCCATTATAAGTCCCCTGCACGCCCTCTTGTTTTTTCGCTAATGAGAAATTCTGGTGGGGAAGGGATTAGTGGTAGTGGATGGAATCTGTGTGGCATAAAGAATTTGCTGTGCCTTATATTTTATTTTAAAATAGCCAAGGAGTTTGTTATAATCCCATAACTTCTGAAGTGCCATTAGCAGTGTATGTTGCAGCCTCAGAGGGCACTGAATATAAATGTTAAACTACACAGTCTTTGATGCAGTTATCCTTGGTCATTTCAGTCCAAGCATATTTCTAACCTTTATGCAGAGGGCCAGCACAAGACATGGCAACCATTTAGGTTCCACTTAAGCCCTGTTTTGAGTACTTATGTGGATTTAAGTGGTGCATCAGTCTTGTAGGGGCTGTCTGTGCAGAGGTGGATTTCACTCACAATGAGCAGGAACAAATTTTATAAACAAAATCCTGCTGTTCTCTGTGTATATCTAAATGATGGTTGCTGTTTTCCAGGCATGGAACCGTATCCTTCAGAAGGCACCAGCTGAAGCAGTGCATCTGCAGAGCCAAATGGATTCAGGAAATGCTTCTTTAGCCATAAACTGGACTGTGTTATACCAATAAAATAAAAACCAGCAGGATCTTATTAAAGGGGAAAAGGCAAAATGCCACATTTATTGTGAATACAGAAAGAATCATAGTAAGCAGTTAGTTATAGCTATAACATTCCATTCAATTTCATATTTATTCACATATTCATTCATACACACATACACAGGTTCTGCAAGGTTGTTATCATAGATACCAGCCTTAGAGTTGCTCATACCAAGCCACTGGCCAGGTGGCCTGGACGTTAGGAGGGAGCAGGGCCTTGTCAGATGCTCATCTGATGCTCCTAGAAGTTGGTTTGCAGAATCAGACCCCAAAGTTCTCACTTTCTAGAGTCCATTTTTATAGGAATTTCTTCCTATGCCAGTCTATGGGAATTGCTTCATCATGCTGTTGCTGAATCAATCAGCAGATGGCACATTCCTGACGGCTCTGTGCTGCCAGATGTTATCTTGTTTTTTGGTTCTCCCACTCTTGAGGCTGTTGGGTGGATTCCAGTCTGCCCTCCAGGGGTCCTCTGGTTGTTTCCACTTGACGCCTTCTTCAGCCGATGGACACTGGATTCTTAGGTTGGCACCTCCCTGATCTTTCAGTTATTATCCACACCAACCATCCATCCACATACATCCTCTATCTCTATTTTAATCACAATTGTTAACAAAACGAGATGAATACAACAAAAGGGCGGGGAGTCTCTGGGTGCTGTTTCTGTTGTTACAGAGTATTGCTTTGAATCTCTGTGTGTGAGTAGTTGTTGTTACAAAGAATTGCTTTGAGAACAGACTCTGTCTTAGAATGTACTAACACAATTAGCAACTTGCAAGTTTCACACATAGAGGGAGAGAAACAGTACCAAAAACCAAGAGACCTCTTAATTAGTAATACCCTGGAATTTAAACTACGGGGAATCAAACTCATTTGTGATTTTAATACAGAACTTCTCTAATATGATCCAACAACTGTGATAACCAGTCCACAGACTATGACAGACTTTCCAGAGGTGTTTTATGGCAACTATAACCACCATTAACATCCAGGGCCAACATGAAGCCGGTCCCGGTTATGTGTTTCTTACAACCATTAATGTACAGATGTTGTACTGAGAAGCAATGGTGTATTTTGATTTGCACACTTAACCAAATGATGCTAGACTTCTTGGTGTAAATTCTGCTCTGACTTCCCTCTATGCAACTCCAATGAGTTATCATAGGTGTAGATCAGAGAAGAATTTTGCCCATCATATTGGACAGCTACTTTCTTTCAAGCCTTTTCAGTATACCATCTCAGTGTTGTATTTGTTTGTTGCCTTTATATTGTCTTTACTTCTCTAATACATTCTTCTTTAGCTGAAGGTGATAGTTTGACTTGCAGATGTATCTGAGTAGCATATCTTAATAAAAGTTTAGAGTTGTTGTAGGTCTTTAAAATTTCACATTTTTTGCTCACTCGTATTGCCGTGCAAGCTGCACATCTTATTTCCATGAGGGTCCCAGGGGAACAGCAACCATACACAGTGTTATACTAGCATACTTCTAAGTGCTGTAAAAATGCAGAACATATTTCCCTAAGTAGAAAACACCACTGACCAGTTACAATTCCAGTTTAACTTGACAAGTTTCTTTAAGATATGAGATGAAAAGATTTTCTAAACCTGACAGCATGTGGAACAGACAGATTTATATAATCCATTTAGGGCTGCAGTCCCAAAAGTTCATCTACCAGTCAGTTTTGCCTCCAGGCACTTAAAAACTGGGTCAAATAAAGATTTTTGGAACAGAAATATTTCTAGAAAATAGTATGGATCTTAAACTTTCTTCTTCTTATGCTTTTCGATGCACAAAGAACATCGTGCTTTTGATTTAGCGGGGTGGTGAGAGATAAATAACTAAAGCAAAGCCTCAAGGAGAGAGCATTTCTTCTGCAACATGCTGCATAAACTTTCTCTCTCAAAATTACAGCTGCCATTGCAGACACCTATGAATTTAAAGGCACAGTACACCACAGCTGCAGTTCATGTACCATAATTTCCAGCCTCCCAAATTCTCAAAGGAGCCTAAGGGAGTTAAGCATCCAACTCTCCCTGATTTTAGCCACCTAATTTGCTTAGGTTCCTGGGAGAATCATTATCGTGGTAGTCTGCAGGAGCAGTGCACATTTTATTTTAAATAACTGTCACAGGGTGGCTGGCCCTCAATGGGAATCAGGGCCCAAGCTATGACAGGCTTCATTAGGAAGATTGAGCCCATCAGTGTCAGACAATGCCCTGAAAAACAATAATGGAGATGGTTCCGAAGTAGAATTTTAAAGAATTTCTTGCATCAGTTTACTTCTGTTTTATTTTCATGTTATTCCAACATGGCCATTGAAAATAAAAGTATAAACTAGTAGTCTGGTAAATTAAGCAAAATATGCTGTCTTGATGTTTTAGCTTTTAAGAAAGTTTGTCTAATAGAGTTATGGATATTATTTATAACAGCTATTGCTTTTTCAAAGATGGGCCTCATTTAGAACACCCTCCTCCCCCAACTCGGGGAAGTTCCAAGACTTTGTAGTTAAGGCCCATCTCTACAAGATTAATTTGAAAGGGAACAATTAATCCAGTCTTCCTGAACTAAGCATAATGTGAAGGTTAAAACAAGATGTGGAGGAAACTGAAGCTAAAGTTAAACAAGTGAACTCAACTCCACTTCGCAGGGCATGTGATTAATGAAGAGGGGTGAACTGTGGTGTAGTCAGCAGTTTCTTCCACCCTAGGAGACCTTGTATGGTGACACTATCCACCGTAGCCTGCGAGCTACAGAGCTAAGCATCAAATGTGTCCAGCAGCCTTAATGTTCATTACTGTCAAGTCCTGTCTCTTCTCTGCTATGAAAGACACTACAGGATCAATCCTCTAACATGCATAGATAGTGATCAATTGTGCAACAAAGATTTACAAGCACTGACTGCATTCTAGTAGGCAAATCAGTAAACTTAAAAGAGTGAGGTGAAGTTAGTAAATTGTATAGTCAGTTGCTTGACCACACTTTGGTTCATTATGAAATATACTTGAGACCAAATAATCAATATCCGTCAGTTTTATTGCTAAAAGTCAACAGTAGTATAGTACAGGAAAAAAGGTTCAGTATGATACCAGTTTCTGGCAAGCCATGTCTGGCAGTATTGTTAATTCACCTTATACAGTGTCTGTGCTTCCAAAGTTACACATTTCATGTAGGAGTACTTATAGGATGATTTTACAAAATACAAAAAACTCTACATGTCACTAAAATACAACCCACCGGTTTCTTTACTTGTTCTGTACGGTCCTTATCTTTGTTTTGGATACTAGCATTCCAGGTCCTGGTCCATCAATGTGTCAAGGTACCTCTCTAACTTATATCAGGGCAGAAAATTAATGTATTTTGCCTTTTTCAAGTTCTCTATTTTCTAATGCCAAAGCTGACTTCATCTTTGCAAAGTGTTATGGCTACTTAGCATAAGTGAACAGGATTATAGGAAGACACAGGCCAATTCAGGCCATGTAACTGCTAGGAATATGTATGCATGATATAATGCTATTCATAGTGTATGCTTAATGCATATTAACATGTTGTATGAATAATACATACTGATAATGGGATATATACATTAGCCAGTATATGCTGGTCAACAGAGATTAATGGGAGAGATGGCTTGATGGTCCCAAGGGAACGGGATGATGGCATGGAAGAAGTAATGATCTGAAAGTCCGACTTGCATTTGAATTGTTCTGCTTGCTTATAATGTTGTGTGACTCAATAATATTGGTTACAAACAACAAAAGCAACCTTAAGGGCAACTGGAAGCTGCACCATATGATGCAGATTTGATGTATTCAGTTGCCTGCTCTGTTGTCTTGACTGGGAAAGCTCAGCGCACAGATCCAGGAATGTGGCCTTCCACATCGGAAAGTTCTGCAACCACTATTGAGCATCCCAGCTGTGCATCATGATACAGTTCCACCTCTCAATGTTTGTTTCTCGGGCCTCATGTCTCCACCACATGGAGCTGGTCAGTGAATGCCTGCAACACCCTGTAATTTTTATGCACTGTCGGTCTATGTTGCTCACGACAATCTGCTGTCCTAGGCAAAGCTTCAGTGTGCCACCCCCTTCAACCTCCTTAGAACATCAATATGACTGAGGCAGTGGTGCCAGAAGGAATGCAGAAGGGGGAGAGGGCAACTGGCATTGTGATCCCATGCACCAGGTCACAATGCCACTTGCTCAGATTTGGCCTTGCTGCCTCTCTGTTGTGCCAGCTGTGAAAGGGGCTCCATGATTATACCATCCAGTGGTGCTGATCACTTTTCCCAGAAATCCAACACACTGGGAATCTGCTGTCCTACATCTGCCTTATTGTCAATAGCTTGAGTGGCCCCAGACTGTCAGCATCATCCACTCATCCATTTTGATGTGTCCTGTCTCATTGTCATCACAGCACCACCATCCACTGTTGTTGTGGTAGTCACTGAAGGAAGTTCTGCAAATACAGAACAATTGTGTGCCCTGTCTCCAAAACAGACACAAGATTAAGAACTCTGCTGATCTGTGGGGGATCTGCTGAGATGGCCAAGAGAGAGAAGCAGTGTGACCAACTGTAAGAATTTTTAAAATGGCACAAAAATTATGGACTGGAGAAAAGGGAATTGTGGGAACTTGACCTTGAGCTCCTATAATTCCCTGAGCACAGTGCAAGTATCTCACAATGCACTACAAAAAACGTCCCACAAGGCATTGCACCAGATGGCATGCAGAAGACAGTGGGACGCCTATTCATGGTGCACTGTGTCTCCTGTCGACACAACCTCTCACGTTGATTGAACATGAAGACATGTGGTACTGGGAAGGCAGCCAGTTGTACGTGCGCTCTCAGGCCATAGCAATGGTGACAGCTGTAAGCCAGCAAAAGTTCTGGCAGCAAAACTCTAGTGTAGACTTGGCCCATGTGTGCTGACAGCCTCTGTGCCTCAGTTCCCTCATTCATAAAATGGGCATAAAAAGCCTTTTCTCACAGGAAGCGTAATTAAAGTTGTGAAGTGTAATTAAATGTTCTTAAGTGCTTTGGGGTCCTTGAGTAAGGTGGAATGGAAGCAGGACCCTTTGATAGCAACAGTCAGCTTGGCCTTCCTGGGAATCACGGACATATCTCAGCCTTTTCCTAAAACTGGTCTATACCTGGTGCAGCCCCAGCAGTGCTAGCAATGGGGAACCACTACAGTAAACTAGAAGCTTGTGGCATAGCCTCAGCCTAGCCAGTCATTAGTGGCCAGAGACTGTTTAAGTGACCACTGTAAAGCACATGTTTATGTACCAAGGCTGCAGCTAAGAAGAGATCTAGGCCCAGTCTACACTGGCAAGTTTCTGCGCAGTAAAGCAGCTTTCGGTGCTGTGACTCCCGAGGTGCGCACACTGCCAAGCCAGAAACTGCACAGCTGTAGCACTTAACAAACCCATCCCAGTGAGAGGAGTACAGCTTTCTGTGCTGGGGCTACGGTGCTGTGGGGCCAGTGCAGACACTGTGGCGATAACAGCACTGTGATGGGCCTCTGGGAAGTGTCCCACAAAGCCTGTTCTCGCCTCTCTGAGCATCGGTTTGAACTCTACTGCCCTGACCTCAGATGACCAACCATCATCCCTACCCCGTGAATTCCTTTGGAAATTTGGAAGTCCCCTTCCTGTTTGGTCGGGCTCAGCGCATCTTTTCAGGTGGCCACGCCTGCTCCACGCACCAGGCGATTCCCCGCTTGGAGCAATGCCGAGCTGCTGGACCTCAGCGGCGTTTGGGGAGAGGAGGCTGTCCAGTCCCAGCGGTGCTCCAGCCAGAGGAATTATGATACCTGTGGGCAGATTTCACGATGCATGACAGGAAGGGGCCATGACCGGGACACACGGCAGTGCAAGGTCAAAGTGAGGGAGCTGCGGAACGCCCGCCACAAGGTGCGGGAGGCAAACCGCCGCTCCGGTGCTGCACCCACGAGCTGCTGGTTCTACAAAGAGCTGGAGGTGACCCCCCCTCCACTGCAAAGACCACTGTGGATACTTTGGTGGCTCGTGTGCCCGTCGAGAGTGGACTGAGCCAGGAGGGGGAAATCTTGGATGATGACTGGGAGGAGGAGGGGGAGAGGGACCCAGAGGTAGAGGATGACTCAGAGGTCAGAGATGCATGCAGCCAGGAGCACCCCGAAGGAGGCTAGCCGGTCACAGCAGTTGGATCTTGGTGAAGTGCTAACAGGAGAGGAGGCTGCTGGTAAGTGGATCTGATTTTGGGAATCACTGAAGTGAGCTGTTGCGGGCAGGAGGGTTGCAGGGAGCAGGCTTGTCTCCCACAGCATGCCTAGCCTGAGTGGCAGAACAGGCTGTTGATTGATTCCTTCACGTCATGGGAATCTCCCT